GTGCCGCCGCTGGGCCCGCGACCGTTGGGGCGTGGCCGCCTCTGAGCGGCGCGGCCGTTGGGCCGTGTGTGCCTCGTGCCGCCGCTGGGCCCGCGGCCGTTAGGGCGTGGCCGCCCGTTCCGTGAGCGCGGGGGAAAGGACGGAGAGGCCCAAAATCTGTGCTCTTGTTTGCTCTGTCGCCTGAAATGGTGATTGAGGCTGCTTTACCCTGCCAGAGCTGCACCCTGAGGCTTTTCGGAGCACATCGAAATAGAGCTCTTGGTGATGCTGGTTGCTAAGCTAGCTACATGAATAGAAGGGGAAAAAATTCAAGTCCTCCTCAAAACGTTTACCTTGGCAGAGCTCTGTCAAAACACTGTTTGTGTTGGCTCATCTCTCGTGGTTGGGTGGCCAGGATGGCTCATGTGATGTGCTCACTCACACAGAGAGGCTTTTCACACCGCAGCTGCGGAGGACTGTGCTGCTGGGCAACCTTCTCCCGGGGCAGATGCTCCCCAGGAGAAGGCATAAAGATTTTAAGAGTTCAAACTAAGTGTCATCAAAAATAGCTGCATTTCACTGTCCTACATGTAATTCATTCTTCTGCCATCTTTCCACATTTCAGGAGCATGATGGAGGCTCACAAAACAGAGAAAGCACAGAAAACTACAATGTTTATTGAAATCTGAAAAATCTTTTGGTTAGTGGTAGCACGAGCGGAACAAACAAGTTTGCGTCTTTACAATTAAGGGAGCTACCCCTACATTCTTTGGCCAGAGGACCAAAGGAGCCAGGTGACCTCAGGCAAGAACACGAGGGAGCCAAGGAGCTCAGTATAGGCAGATAGACCCCATAGACCCCTGCAGGAGTCTGTCCCACTGGACTCTCCCTTTATTCAAATAAAGTTTTGAGACTCCTCTGTCTCCTTTGTGGGCCTTCAGTTCTTGACAGCAAGATTTTCTGCACAAAACAGCTCTTAGCTCATAGTGGTGCTGACCCTGTTCCTACCAAGGGAGGTACCTACCCGGATCCCTGCACTTAGCCCTCCTCAAATGTGTCTTATGCATTTCTGTGCCAGTTGAAGCCAGTGACAGAACTGTGTCCTACCCACGACTTCTTATTGCAGCACGCCGCTGCCTTAGCAGAGAGTAGAGATGTGGTTAGTTATGCATGTGAGCATATTTCATAAACAAAATGTTCCTTAGCTTAAGGCACACTGAAAAACAAGCCAAAGCCCTTGAGGCAAAGCAGTAGTTCGGGTAGGTTTTGATGCCAGCACATCTGACTCATGAGGGCTGTTTGTTACAGTGATGAGAATAGTAACTGGCCTGAGCAGAGCTTGCATTTTTCCCAATCCAGATTTTTAAAACAAAATATTGAAACAATACATGGAAGTAGAGTACAGATGAAAACAGAGCTGCAACAGATGAGACAGTGGCTTAAAGATGCAGCTTCCGTGACAGTTTGAGTGGACAGCATCGAGAGACCTTCCCCGACACGTTAGTACTAAACTGGCGGGCCAGCTTCGAGCTGCGCATGGGTGTTTCAGGGCGGGCTCTGCAGCTCGGGGGGAGAAGGGGGTCCCGTTCCCCGCGCTGGGCGCAGCTGCGTGGGAGCCCGCCCGGCCCCGGCTCCGGGCCGAGGCG